ACACCTGCCCCTATTACCCTAGTTACTGTATTAATCCATGTCATCTGTTGTCTTCCTCTCCTGCTCTGACCCTCCACCCTTCCAAGCATGCCCAAAGTATATGACATAGAGCTTCAAAATCCTAGCCTCCAAGGAGAAGCTTGATTTCACTCTCTCCAAGACAGACCTATTTGTTTCCCTCACAGTCGATGATATATTCAAGACTTTTCTCTAGCACCACAACTCAAAAGGATCAATTCTTCCTATATAATTCTTAGTCATTTTCCAGCTCTCTGATGCATAGCAAATAATTGTGAAGGCCACGGTCTGGATCAGGTAGACCTTAGTCTCTAAACTTACATCTTTGCTTCTCAGTACTCTGGAGATGTTCCTGACAGCAGATTTACCCAACACAAATATGTATTTTTTTAATTTTCTGACTGTTCGTACCAAAAGTGTTGATTGTGGAGCTGAAAAAAATTATACCTGTTAATAACCTCAACTCATACCTATCTATTGTGGTGCTACCAATTGGCCCAGTGATAAGATACAGGATCAATTCCTTTTAGATGCCTTTGTGTCATTAGTGACTCATAGAGACCCTAAGCATAATAGTTCTGAAGCTTGCCCTATCCTGAGCCAATCTAACTGTCTCTGACACACCTAGCCCTGTTACTCCAGTTACTAGATAAATCCATCTCCTCCACCATATTTCCCTGTTGTGTTGCCCTCTATCCTTTCAAGCATGATGTTCTTCTCCAAGAATTGGTCCCTCTTGGCAACATGCTCAAAGTATGTCAGATAGAGCTTCAAATTCCTTTCCTCCAAGAAGAAACTTGGTTTAACCCTCTCCAAGACAAACATTTTTGTTATCTTTGCAGTCCATGGTTTGTTCAATACTCTTCACTAGCATCACAACTCAAAGGTATCAGTTCTTCTGTCACCCTTAGTAATTTTTCAGCATTCTAATGCATATTCAGTATTTGCAAAGCCCATGGTCTAGATAAGGTGCACCTTTGTCTCTAGGGTGACACTGTTGCTCTTTTTTGCACTCTAGAGAAATCTCTGATTGCAGATTTCACTAATGCAGTGCTAAGTCTTTTGATTTCCTGGTTGTTGGTGCCACGCGTGTTGATTGTGGAACCAAGCAAGCAGAAATTGTTAACAATCTCAATCCCTTTTCCATCTATCATGATTCTGCCAATTGGCTGAGTGGTGAGAGTATTTTGTCTTTTTGATGTTGAGTTTCAATCCATACTAATGACTGCAGTCCTTGACATTTTGCAACAAGCACTTCAGTTCTTCCTTAGTTTAAGCAAGCAAGGTTGCATGATCTGCATAATGCAGGTTGTTGATGAGTCTTACTTCAATTCTGATGCCATATTTCTCCCCATATAGACCAGCCTCTCAAATGATCTGTTCTGTATATAGTTTGAAAAGATACTCACATATAAAAACAATGAAAAGACAACTAGCACTTCCATGCTATGGCCTATAATGCCATACTTAGCCATGTTTGGATTGTTGACCACTGAACATACTTAGGACAACAATCTTTATTAAGGGCATGTTACATGTTAGGTTCTTTTAACAAATATCCACACATACAGGGCATTACTTTAAGTCAAATGTCTTCCCATCTTCAGTTCACTGCTCTAAAATAATGTCTTATTTTAGGCAATCTGCTGACAGTGGCTTCTCCACAGTACTAAGGAGCAGTAATGTCTGTTTAAACACTAAGTTGTGCCTTGTCCAAGCTATGGCATATTCCAGTACTTCATTCATATGCATCTGAATTAGATAATGAATAAGAAGGACTGGATTTAAAAAAAAAGAAGAATGAATTAAAAGCAATGTCATTCAATTGTGGTGTTGGAAAGAATACTGAATACTTCATGTACTGCTGAAAGAACAGACAAATCTTTCTTAAAAGAAGTACCATGAAGATGCTCCTTGTTGGTGAAACTTCACTTCAAATAATTTGGGAATGTTGTCAAAAGGGGTCAGGCACATCTTGATGGGAAAAATGATGGGTCAGCAAAATGAGGAAGACCTTAAGCAAGATGGATTGATGTAGTTACTATTACTATGGGCTGAAGTATGTCAGAGGTTGTGAAGATGGTACAAAATAGGGCTAAGTTCAGATCTTCTGTTCACAGAACTGCAATGAGTGATTGTCAGTGCGATGGCCTGTAACAGTAACAGCAGCTGAGTCAAACCTTATGAGGTGAAGGTCTACAAATATCCAAAGATATTTAGTCCAGTATGACTGACTACAGGGGGACAGTATGGTCTTACCCCAGGGACGAACATTAGTTTCTCAAACTAGAGCTTTCTTGGGGTGATCCTGTGTGCTGGACACTGATTTTGAAGGCCCCTAAGTGTGTCTCAGGGTGAATTCTATCTATGCTTTGTTTCAGTGACCTCATGTGAATTGTGAGTTGCTGATTATTTTTGTACTGAAACAAGGTTTATCATGCCTGGTGTTCTAAGTTTAATGTAGTAAATTTTAGGACAAGTTCCAGCTAGAAACAGATTGCTGACTATTTAAGTAGAGATGCTGACTTTACTGGAACAAAAAATGAAAGGGAAAAATTTCTGGATCAAAATAATGTTGGAGAAGAGGAGCAGTTAGAGTGGAAGAAAAACACATCTTTGGTAACAGCCAAGACACAGCTTATGGAGCAAACATCTCCACTCAGCGGAAATTCCACTGACTTTTACAAAATATCAAAGAAAAATAGATGTTGGAAGAGTCTTCCCTGTTTCATTTTAGCAAAGGACTTTGAGACGTTTAGGGCCTAAGAAAATCCAGCCCTCGAGATATTCATATCCCTGGTGACAAAGTTTGAGTCCCTGTGAGTTTATAGCCTATGTCGGTACCACAGTGACTCAGAGTTCAATTTTCCCCCCCTTCATTTATTGAGTGTCAGTAACACTATGGGCATTTTGAGGAATAGCAGCTTTGCCCAGGTGTCTCTACACAATTAAATTTGAATTTAGGACAAGAAAAGCAATCCATATTTTTAAACTTAGACAGCTGAAGAACAGAGAGGAAATTCATGATAAAGGACAAGGCCCTCCTGGGGCTGTAAATGTAGGATTGTAGGGGGTTTTAGTGCTTAGAGTTGCTGTCAGCTTGATGAGTGTGGTGGACAGACTTGGGGATTCTTTAGCCATTACTAATAGTGTCAGAGAATGAGAAGAAATTACTGAATAAGTGTATAATCCTGGGTTTTTTTTTTCACTCTGAGAATCCGTTTGTGTGATGTGTCTTTGAATATGGCCATATAGTTGAAATAGGATCCTCTGCTTAGAAACTGTATCTTTTATGTTTCTTTATTTAACTTTTTTCTTTGAATTTGAATGAAAATTTAAAAGGTAGATTCATATCTCGTTCTACCCTTCCTACCTTTTTAGTTTTATGACATTGATTACAGTCCTCTCAATGTACTATAGTATTTCTCTGTCATTCATGTTTCCATTCAGCCTTCCATCCATTGCTTTATTCTTCCTTTGGATTCCACACCAAATTATGTCCCCTCTGTAGGCAACTGTCCCCTCATCTAAAAAGTCAAGGTAATATTTTATCTCACAGGGCAATTTTCCTAGAAAGACTAAATCTTAGGTGGCTACTTAAGTCAGCCAACAGAGTCAGAATTCAGTTCAAGTAATATTAATTTTAAGGTAAACCAAATGAGTGTATCTAGGAAAACACGCAGCACAGTGTGAGGCATTAACTATTCCCTTTTTGATGTGTCATGTGATCTCTGTCCTGCAATGATACTGGTGGACTTACACCAAAGTATCTTACGCTATACTGTGAATGTTTGGAAAACACCAAGATCTTTGGAAATCAGTTAATAAAGCATTAGCAATGATTCTCTACCTTAATGCAGGTTCTAAGGAATAAAAAGGCCGTGTTATTTTTTTTCTTTTTAAAGGGAATCCTATTCTCAGGTTATGAAAAATTAGGAATTTCCCCCACATCTCTGTTGTTTGACATCCATATCATTAAATACGGTTTTACTACTCTGTATGTTATTTCTAGCTCTCTCTTCTCACTTGTGGCCTGTATGTGACCTATAATGGTCTATTTCTGGCTACTTTATATAACACAGGATGGAAGATCTGAAATGGAAACAAGAGGACAAAATAGTTGAAAGCCACCAAGGTTGCACAAGTGATCATGACAGTTGACAATGATAAGATAGAGGATGTAAAACAAAAACACTTTGGTAAGAGGAAGTAGGTGGAAGTGGTGCCTATTGTCGAAGGAAAGAGGAAGCTATAGATCAGGGAAAGAAATAAAACAAAAAGAACACACATGGAAAACAAGGCTGCTCAGATTCCTTTTTTAAGTAGCATTAGAAAATGTAAGAGCAAATGTGTGCATAAGTAAAAAAATATAGAGGAGAAATACCGTATTATTAGATAGTATAAATTCTTCTTTGATGAAAGTTATCTGTATTAGCATCCATATCTTTTGCATTCCAATTAATTTTTGGTGAATTTAATGCTTAATAAATTGCCGTAGGTATTGTGCCCTTTAAGTTCATATTCCACAGGAAAGAACACCCCATGAGCACAGCTACAACAATTTTTACTCTGAGTGTTATTTAATTGACCAGTAAAGCCAGTAAATTGAATTATAAGCACAAGCTGTGGGAGTTAATGACCAATTTCAAGAAGGTCAGCCTTGCCAGTTCTGTACTACATCAATGACACAAAATCCACACAGCTAGATGAATCAGTATTGTTTAAAAAAGAAATGGTGGACTGAAGTTACCATAATCATAAAGTGTTCAGAATGAATGTTCCAGAAGCACTGGACTATACTGATTCAGAAGGGAAAAAAATAAAAATTATAAGTAATGATAGGTTCAATGATCAGTTGCAAGACATGAACACTGAAGCAGATTCTTCAGCACGTGCATTTCTTAATTGCCTGTGTTGAAAGGACTTGCAAAGTTATGATAAACTCCACTGCTGTATTTAAATTCTGCTTTTTCTTCTTTTAGGTGGATCTTCTTGTTCCTACCAAAGTGACAGGCATTATCACACAAGGAGCTAAAGATTTTGGTCATGTTCAATTTGTTGGTTCCTACAAACTAGCCTACAGCAATGATGGTGAGCACTGGACTGTATACCAGGATGAAAAGCAAAGGAAAGATAAGGTAAGTCATCCAAGTATTGTGTGAAGGGCAGCATGAAGAATTACTTGCACCTAAGTGGTGTAACGAACTGCTTATACAATTGTGCTGAAAATAATGATTACATTATAAACTAGAGATTAAACAAAAAGCTTTATTAAAGAAGTTGGCAGACAAATACGTAATATTGTAACCTTGTTATTGTTGTTATGTTGTTATGGACCATCGAGTCCCTTGCGACTCATAGCAACCCTATGTATAACAGCCCTAAACTCTGCTCTGTTCTGTGCCAATCGCACTGTCTCCGACACTCCCATCCTGATTACCCCAGTCACTGAATCAGTCCACCTCATAGAGGGCCTTCCCCTCCTGTGCTGTCCCTCCACCCTACCAAGTCTCTCCTTACCTACCAGTCTCTCCTTACATGTCCAAAGTATGTTAGGCAGAGCCTCAGAATCCTTGCCTCCAAGGAGCCACACAGTTTAAACCTTTCCAGGATGAATCTGTTTGTTTTCCTAGCAGTCCATGGTACTCTCGATACTCTTCTCCAGCACCACAGCTCAAAGGCATCAATTCTCCTTCTATCCTCCTTGGTCATTGTCCAACTCTCTGATGTATAACAAGTGATTGCAAAGACCATGGCCTGTATCAGATGTACCTTAGTCCCAGAGAGACACCATTGCTTTTCAGGACTTTGGAGAGGTCCCTAACAGTAGACATTCCCATGTCAATACGCCTTTTAATTTCCTGGCTATTGGTGCCAAGAGTGTTGACTGTGGAGCCAAGCAAACTAAAGCTGTGAACAATCTCAGTCTCCTCACCATCCATCCTGATGCTGCCAATTGGCCCAGTGGTGAGAATCTTTGTCTTCTTGACATTGAGCCTGAATCCATATTGGAGGCTGCAGTCCTTGACCCTCTGCAGCAAGCACTTCAGGTCCTCCTCAGTTTCAGCAAGCAGGGTTGTGTCATCTGCATAACGCAGATTGTTGATAGATCTTCCACCAATCCCGATGCCACATTTCTCCTCATAGAGTCTGGCCTCCCGGATAATCTGTTCTGCATACATGTTGAAAAGGTTTGGAGACAGGATGCATCCCTGGCGTACGCCATTCCCAATTTTGAACCATGCGGTGTTCCCTTGCTCTTTTCTGACAACTGCCTCCTGGTCCAAGTATAAATTTCACATTAGCATGATCAAGTGTTCTGGGATTCCCATTCTCCTCAGAGTCAGCCACATTTTGTTATGATCCACACAGTCAAACGCCTTTGCAGAGTCAATGAAACACAGACATACATTCCTCTGGTATCCCCTGCTTTCAGCTAGGAGCCATCTAATATCGGCTACAATATCCCTAGTACCACGACCCCTTCTAAACCCAGCCTGGACTTCCGGCAGTTCTCTGCTGATGTGCTGCTCCAGTCGTTTTTGAATAATCTGCAGTAGAATCTTGCTTGCATGTGAAATCAATGAGATTGTGCTACAGTATCCACACTCTGTTGGGTCACCCTTCTTTGGAATGGGAACAAATATAGATCTCTTCCAGTCAGTTGGCCAAGTGGTTATTCTCCAGATTTCTTGGCACAAATTGGTGAGCACGTCCAGGGCAGCATCTATCAGCTGAAATACCTCAATTGTTATACCATCTATTCCTGGGGCCTTATTTTTTGCCATTTCCTTAAAACCAGACTGAACTTCTTCCTTCATCACCATAGGTTCTTGCTCATATGTTGTTTCATGAAATTCTTTTGTGTCTGCCAATTTCTTTCGATTGAGTGACTCAATATATTCTTTCCACCTTCTTTTAATACTTCCTGGATCATTTAATATTCTGCCGAAAGCATCCTTCATTAGGGCAACTCGATGTTTGAATTTGTTCTTCAGTTCCTTGAGCTTAAGAAATGCTGAGCGAGTTCGGCCCTTTTGATTTTCTGACTCCGAATCTTGCACATTTAATTGTAATATTTTACTTTGTCATCCTGTGCTGCCTTTTTGAAATCTTCTATTCAACTCTTTAGTATCTTGAATTCTTCCTTGTGCTTTGGCTTCTCTGCGCTCCAGTGCCATTTTCAGTCTCTCTGACACCCATTTTGGTCTTCGCTTCCTCTTCTGTCTTTGCAATGACCGTTTGCACTCTTCCTGAATAATACCCTTGATATCCTCCCACAACTTGTCTGGTCTTAGCTCATTAGTGTTCAAGGCCTCAAACCTGTTCCTGAGATGGTTCTGAAATTCAAGTGGGATAGACTCAAAGTCATATTTTTGTTCCTGTGGATTTGGTTTAATTTTTCTCTACTTCATCTTGAACTTGCATTATAAGTAGTTGGTGGTCTGTTCCACAATCAACTCCTGGCCTAGTTTTCACAGGTGATATTGAGGTTCTCCAGCGGTTCTTTCCGCAGATGTAATCAATCTGAGTCCTATGCATGCCATCAGGTGAAATCCATGTATATAACTAGAATTTATGTCTCTTAAAAAAGTATTTGCTATGAATAAGTAATTGATTGTACAAAATTCAATCATTCTCTCTCCAGCTCCATTTCTGTCACCGAGCCCATGTTTTCCAACTACTGAATCTTCTTCTCCGTTCCCAACTTTTGCATTCCAATCACCCATTATTATCAATGCATCTTGATTGCATGTTCGATTGTTGACAATTAGGACTTTATAATTTAAACCAGATTTTAATATAATGTTGTTGTTGTTGTTGTTGTTGTTGTGTGCCATCAAGTAGCCTGTGACTCATAGCAACTCTATGTACAACAGACCTGAACCTTGCTCTATCCTGTGCAAATGTCACAGTCTCCAACACTCCTACCCTCATTACTCCAGTCACTAAATCAATCCACCTCATAGAGGGTCTTCCTTTCCTGCACTGTACCTACATTCTCCCAGCATGATATCCCTCTCCAAGGACTTGTCCTTCCTTGCAACATGTTCAAAGTATTTCAGCCAAAGCTTCAGAATCCTTGCCTCCAAGGAGCAGCCTAGTTTAATCCTCTCCAGAATGAACCTGTTTTCCTAGTAGTCCATGGTTTATTCAATACTCTTCTCCAACACTGCAACTCAAAGGCATCAATTCTCTTTCTGTCCTCCCTAGGCATTGTTCAGCTCTCTGACGCATAGCAAATGATTGCAAAGATCATGGCCTGTATCAGGCACACCTTAGTCCCCAGAGTGACACCATTGCTCTTCAGTACTCTGGAGAGGTCCATAAGAGCAGACTTTCTCATCGCAATATGTCTTTTTAATTTCCTGGATGCTGGTGCCAAGAGTGTTGACTGCCAAGGAAACTAAAACTGTGAAAAATCTCAATCTCTTCACCATTCATTCTGATGCTGCCAATTAGCCCAGTGGTGAGAATCTTTGTCTTCTTGATAGTGAGCCTCAATTCATATTGTTGTTGTTGTTATGTGCCGTCGAGTCGTTTCCGACTTATAGCGACCCTATGCACAACAGCCCTAAACCCTGCTCTATCCTGCACCAACCGCACCGCCTCTGACACACCCATCCC